CTTGGGGTGCCATAACACCGGTCTCCTTTGCCTAAACAAATGAAAGTGCCCATTTTTTGATGTTCCACGTTTAACTGACGATCACAAAATCTGCTCAGTGGGGACCCCCACCCCCCCGCAATCATGGAAATTCACCTTGGTACCAGCCAGCCTTACCCCCATCCCCCCTCCCCCACCATTCCAGCACCTGCCCCGCAAAAAGTCTGCCCACATCACTGCCAAACAATGTCATTTTTCAGTTGGGGGGGGGGCAAAACAGCATTCCCCTTATTGTAATAAAAAAGCACAACACAAAAGTTGGGGTGGCACAGTGTCTCAGTTGGAAACACTGTTGACACAGACTTCCAGGGTTGTAGGTTCGAATGTGCGCATGCTCTGGTTGGTCACTATTTCTGGTGCCCTCTGTGTTAGGCCTCTAAGCTGCAGCGTGTCCCTCCCCCTGACAGGCACCCAGTATCTCAGACAGTGGGGGGGATGGGGGGTGTGAACATCTTTATTAAAGTCCGTGTTCCATATCTGGTTTATTGCTGCAATGCTTCCTCCATCTTGCCTCATACCCCCCCCCCCCCCCCGTGTGCCGCAGATCAGTGCCGCGTCTCTGGGGGCCCAGCCACAGTTCATCAGCTCCCTGACCACCACCCCGGTCATCACCAGTGCCATATCCGGCATGGCGGGACTCACCAGCCAGATCATCACTAACGCACAGGGACAGGTGCCAGTTGCTCTCCTCCCCACCTTGTTTTCTTACTCTTCTTGAGCCCAAATATGGACAGTTAAACTGCAAGACCATCACTGCAACCTTCCTGTAAGCAACCTGACCTTTGCCTCTTATTTCCTCTCCTCAGGTAATCGGGGCTGTGCCTCTTCTGGTGAACCCAGCCTCACTGGCAGGGGGCGCCGCTGCCTCTCCGCTCCAGGCCCAGGGCTTGCAGGTGCAGACCATGTCCCCTCAGCTGGTGCTGAATGCCCAAGGCCAGATTATAGCCACTATTGGGAATGGACCTGTGTGCACCCCCACCTCAGCGTCGGTGATCCCCAAGCCCTCTGTGCCCCTGTCGCTTGCAAAGTCCACGTCGCAGGTAATGTAGGACCAGGACCTGATACCTGGACAGAGATGGACAGCGATCATTCTGGGCCACATTGCTGTGAATGTGATATGTGGCTTTAGAATGTTGTTGAATCTGTGTTGGTGATGGTATTCAAGCAAATACTTTTTGTATGCTGCTGAGCTAATCTAACAACCCTGCATTGCCAACCCCACCCCCCCCTACCCCCCCCACACTTAAGGGCCAGGTGGTGACAGTGACTCAGGCCCCTGTGGTCATTGCTCCCCAGCCGTCGGTCATGAAGAATGTTGCCCCCCTGTCCTCCCCAGCTCCTGTCACCTGCAGTGACTCTCCTACTGTGGGCCAGCTTGTCAACAGTACGTAGGCGGTCTAATAACTGCGGAGCTTACAGCCCCATTCATTAGTTCTGATATACCATCCCACTGATGGCAGCACGTGCTGTTTCAGAGGCCGCACATCCGCAGGATTTATGGTGACCATCTCTCCCCTCATAGAACCTCAGCCAGGAGCTCCGGATGAGGAGGGCATTAACCTGGAAGAAATCCGTGAGTTTGCGAAGAACTTCAAGATCCGTCGACTCTCCCTAGGACTCACTCAGACACAAGTTGGACAGGCTCTCACTGCTACAGAAGGTCCGGCCTACAGCCAGTCCGCCATATGCAGGTGAGGGCCCCCTATTTGCTGGGATGAGCTCTTGCAGGAAATATTACTCAGTGTTCACACTGAATTTCTTCAGATGGAGTGCTTCTCCAAAACGTCATACAAACATGGTCACGACATTGTTTAGTATTCTTTTACAGCCTTTTAAAAACTGAATAACCATATTTGTGTTTTATTCAGTAAGCAGTGCTGCTTTAAAAAGATTCAGTGTCTCTCACAGTTAATGGTTTAACAAAAGACCAAACTCAACTGTAGGTTTGAGAAACTGGACATCACGCCCAAGAGCGCCCAGAAACTGAAGCCAGTCCTGGAGAAGTGGCTGGCAGAGGCGGAGCTGTGGAATCAGAAGGGCCAGCAGAACCTGATGGAGTTTGTCGGCGGAGAACCGTCCAAGAAGCGTAAGCGACGTACTAGCTTCACTCCGCAGGCCATCGAGGTGCTGAACACCTACTTTGAGAAGAACGCCCTGCCCACAGGCCAGGAGATCACCGAAATCGCCAAAGAGCTCAATTACGATCGCGAAGTGGTCCGAGTCTGGTTCTGCAACAGGCGCCAGACCCTGAAGAACACCAGCAAGATCAATGTTTTTCAGGTGCAGTAATGGAGGGGAGGAGAGGGCCAGCTGGACCCAGGAACCGAATTGTGAGCAAAGGAAAGTTTAAGATTAGATGGTTTTAGAAAGTGAGGATGATGGGAATAGATGTTGGGGACCCCATGATTCTGATTGGCTATCGATGGTGATGAAGGACATTGAACCTAGGAGAGGAATGGGCCAGTATTTTGACTTTGAAACACACAAACAGAAACAGAAATGAGTCGTGGCAGATTTTTTTTTTTTCTCCTTTTGGAAGACGGTTTTAAAAGCTGTTGTGAAACACTTCGAAGGATTTATGTTTTTCCTAGAAAGACACCAAGGAGGTGAGGCTGAGCTGTAAGATGCCCCCCCACACTCTACGTCCTTTATATCGTTAAATAATCATCGTTGTGCGTACCTTCACCTCTGCTAGCCAGACGCTGTTGAGGTGGTGTGGGAGCCTGATCAACTTGAAAAATATGCAGTCACTTTTAGCTAATGGACGCAAGCGAATCGTTCCCTTCAGTGCAGAGACTAGTGATGGCTTGTCTCTTTGAGGTGCTCACACCAGACTGTTCCTGCAAACTTATGAGCGATGGTGTGCTTGGATGAAGGCCTCACATTCTCATATGCATTATCATTTGTTTGGGGGGGGGGTGGATTGTCTCCAGCTATGGATGCTTGGAATTTTTTAATCTTGTCTGTAACTTTTAGTATGCTTCGTCTTCTGATACAAATTGTGCTTTGGATGTGTCATGTTGGACAATCAATACAGTTCAGAACTCTGTGACTGAGAGTGTGCATGCCTTCCAGTAGTGGATTCACTCCCTCCTTTTGTTTAATTAACAATGGCAGGATAAGTTTGAGAGTTCACTCTCACCAGCGGTACAGATCTATTGTTATAAATAGGATGGCAACGGAGCTCACGTACCGTACCACTAAACAGATCGTTTTCAAGCTTGCGTTTAACTGCACGGGTTGTGGCCCATGCTTAGCCAGGACTACCTTATAGGTACTTACCATTATGGTGGCAAAATTTTTCTAATGGTGTCTAGAAGAAAAATAGAGATTTTGGATGCTCTATGTGTAGATTTGATCCCTGTCAGGTATAATCACTTTTATTATATATATTTTTTAAAGATGTGGGTGCTTTCACAGAGCAGCTACGAACAAAAATCTTTTTTTCCTGGCTTTTATCTGTAAGGGGCCAAAAACGGTATAAAAAAATAAAAAATAAATGCATTCAGCCCTACTTTGCACCATGCTACCTTTCCTAAGATTGTTACCAGAAGTTGTCCTGTGACATTTCAAATTGCGCAGATGCATTTTCTTCCATATTGATTTTTAGTATCTTGGGTTGAAAATGCTTTTGATTTCTTATGATTTATAGACAACCACACCAGTCTCTGGCGGGAGAGAAGTGGAGACACGTTGGCATCAATCCCATAATCCTTTACAGACTTTTGTCAACGCAGCCAATAGGGAGGTGGCAAGAGACAGTGTTTTTGACCTTCACGTTGCACACTCCGAGGCGATTGACCAATAACATCAGTCTGGAGGTTTATCCCGTGATGAGGTAATGCTTTTGGCATCTCCGATGCCTTCAGTGGTTTGGGGATAGGTACTAAATTTTATTCAATGTTTGAATGTCCCGTCCCACAACTATAGAAACAATGCTCTCCACTTCTGTGTCGTTCCTGGCTTCAGTAACTAAATTAACGAATGCCGCTATTTCCTTTTAGGAGTATTTTATTTTTTAAAAAAGAAAAGTAGAGGAGTTGTAGAGATATTAGAATCCCTGGAGCTTTTCTACAAGTCAATAGAGTACTTTATAGGAAACGACCAGTTCTGAATGCATTGTTTAAAATGCAATCATACATTAATTTTAAGGTGAGCTCCTGTTTTGTCAGATTTGTTTAATGGTCTGTCAATATTAAACCGGAGGAGGGGTGTTTTGTATAGATGTGTTGGAGAAAAGTCAAATACACGATTAGTTAGTGTACTTACATCTCACAGCCATGCCCTGTTTTTGCAAGCCGTTATCTCTTCTGTTTTAGGCTGAAATAAGTGCAGTCATGTATTACTTTGACTTGCTGTTGTGTAAAGGTGTCTTTTACATATTATTCATTGTATGTGTGAAAACCGGTATCTTCCATCTATTCTGACTCTCCTTGCTTAAAAGGAGATGCCATTAATAAGTTTTCTTTGTTTGTATTGTCAGTCTTGTGGTGTTAACTATGTTCACGTATTTGTCAGATGCACTTATTTTTTTTATGTTGTTTTTTTTTTTTGTTTTATTTTTGGGCGGAGGTTCTGGTAGTTGTTGGTGGAAAAGGTGTTTGTAAAGTTTGCAGGTTTAATTGAGTTTTCCTGCATCAGAACCACTTCCCAAGGATTTGTTATATGATTAGATCTATTCACTTTTCTTTTAGGGTTCTATCGTAGAGTAAATGCTGATTTTTTTTTCTGTTTCAGTAATGCTATTGTTTAAAAAGCCTTAACAATGCATAATTATACTTCATACTATGTATAGGTTTGAGCTAAGATGAAAAAGGGAAGAGAAGTTTGGAATTAAAAGTTCGGAAACAAAAGTTCAAACTATAGAGCACTCCGAGGAAAAAAATGAACGAATGCCATTGGATGAATTGTCATGCATGCAGTGGGACACTGGGAGATTTCACTGCACACTGGGAAAGCAGGCGTGTGCGTTTTGTGCAATTGGTCCTCACAGGAAATATTTCTGAAAGGTCTTTCACTTATTGTTAAACATTTCTACTTAAAAGGAGCCTCGTTCCTAGCCAGTGACTCATTTCTTATTTAAAATGAATTGTTAGTCAAGATAATCTGAATCAGACTGTCACATAATTCTTTAAACTACTTGCTTTAGGGGAGTAGAAAAGAAATCCAGATCTTTCCATTTTAACGTGGTGCTGGTGAACACATTGCTTATAAAGCCTTTCAAAAGATAACGGAAAACGGTTTTATAGTGTCATTGCCGTGATATTTAGTTATTGGAAATAACCAGTTTTTTTTCCTTTAACTTTTCACTCTACTTTGTTAAATAATTAAGTCTAACAGCTTTACCCAGACTTGTATTGTAGGTGTAAGTCTGATGGTGATGTGACGAGGACTGAACATGTGCCACTAGCGTGGAGCTAACTTATATAAATATATAAAAGTATTAATTCAAAAATAGCTAAAATGTCTACAGAAAATACTTTCTTTCCAACTGACAGTTTGTTATACAAAACAAATATAAATTTAAATTAAAAGGACAGGTTTATATATACAAGAAATAAAGCTAAGTGAAACAAAATCTATTTATTTTAACCAATGTATTTGGTAAGTTTAAAAGAGGTTCTAATGAGCTGATGTGGGTGGTCCTTCTGCTGGAGTATCGGAACGTTTTGGGCTGTTGGGGTCTTTCTAGTCCATAAGAGAGCTTTGAGTATGATATCTAAGGCCCATGCACGTTCCAGTGGAACAAAGGGGCTGGGTGGGACAGAAGAGAGGAATCACTCCCTCTCACACCTCTATCTAGTGGTTTGTAGCTGGAATACACCTAAGCTGGTATGAATAATGAGAATTTATAACAGAAGTGATTATTAAATATGTTTTCTTTTTTGTTATTAGTTGGAGTTCTATCTGTTAATAAAAATTAAACTTGAAACTAATCTGGGCGTTTTATTTTTCATTTGTGTGCTTGGCTGAAGACCTTTCACGATAATGCAATTATCGACTTATCGCACGATATATGGACATAACCTCTAATTTTTTCTGACCTCGAGATTGGCAAATTGTGCGTACATTTTAGCCAGTACATTTTTACATTGTGCCCCTAACATTTTAGCCAGTCAGGCTGCTTCTGCCCTCTCGTCTCTTTGTGTGGCAGGTGTACTCCAAGGCCGATTCATACTTTAGGTGAAAATGGCACAGTGCCAGATTGTCCGCGGTCCTGAATGTTCATACGCATCAGGCAGAGCTGCTCTTCAATATCACATTTACGCAAGGCCATAATTATATATTGTGGAGGACATGTCCCCCCCCCCCCCAATATTCAGATGTGCTCACAATGATCCCCTCAACATATATTATAATTATGGCTTTGCTCCCCCCCAATGTTGACTATGGCTACAATCCTGCATTTATGAAATGTGGTATGAATGTTATAAGAATAAAGAAGAATTTTACTATAACTATTCGCTATATACTTACAGTGCACAAGGTAGGATTATAATCGTTAGCGAAAACATTTTCAGAAACTGAAATAAGATATAAAAGTAAAATAAAAACTTCAACTAAACCACAACTTATAAATTTTGGTTCCAAAACCAACTGAGATACAAACAAATGTCAAATATTCCTGCATTTTAGTTTGTAGCCTTCTGGGAGCGTTAATAATCCGGTAACGAGAATTCTTCAAATCCGCAAACCATTTTTGTTGTTATTCTGATCTTTGAGGCTAGAATCGATATTAAAATGTAATCTTTAGTCTGACTTCTTTCTGACATTTTCTCCTCTGGCCAATGAACGATCCAGGATCTTTTGCATCACTGAGCGGAGACTCGACAAAATTGGGTGGGCAGCATATTCAAACGTGCAGTCTTACAACTCACCTGGCCCCATCCCATCTAGAACACCGTAATGCCCACATGAGATTGCTGTTCATTGACTTCAGTTCCGCATTCAACACTATCATCCCTCAGCAGCTGATCGGTAAGCTGGACCTGCTCCGACTGAACGCTCCACCTACAAATGTATTCTGGACTTCCTTACTGAAAGGCCCCAGATGGTCCAGATCGGCAACATCAGCTCCAGCACCATCACACTGAGCACAGGTGCCCCCCCTGGCTGCGTGCTGAGCCTGTTGCTTTTCACGCTGCTGACTCACAGCTGCATCTCCAGTTCCAGCATGAACCATATTATCAAGTTTGCAGATGACATCACAGTAGTGTGTCTCCTCAGGGACAGCGCTGACACGTACAGAGAGGAAGTGCGACAGCTAGCAGCCTGGTGAAGGACAATAAGCAGTCTCTTAGTGTTGGTAAGACAAAAGAGTTGATTGTTGACTTCAGAAGGACCAAGGCTGGCCACTTCCTGCTCTGCATTGATGGCGCCGCAGTGGAGAGAGTGAAGAGCACCAAGTTCATTGATGTTCTCATCACGGAGAACCTCTCCTGGACCATCAACACCAGTTCCCTGACAAAAAGATCTCAGCAGCGCCTGCACTTTTTGTGTCGACTGAAGAAGGTGCACCTCCCCAAACCCATCCTCACCACCTTCTACAGAGGCACCATGGAGAGCGTTCTGACCAGCTGTATTACAGCCTGGTATGGAAACTTCCACGCCTCGGACCGCAGGGGCCTTCAGAGGATTGTGCGGACAGCTGAGCGCATCATCAGTAGCTCTCTACCCAACCTGCAGGACATTTACTCCTCCCGCTGCATCTGTATGGTCACTAGCATCGTGGCCGACCCCCACCATCCCTCCCACAGACTCTTACTGTACCTCTTCCATCTGGAAGAAGATTCTGCAGCATCAGGAGCAGCTCTGCTAGACTGTGCAATAGCTTCTTCCCCCAAGCAGTCCGGCTCCTGAACACCATGCTGCCCCCTTCCACACTGGACTGTCTCCTTAACATCCTGTTCTGCCCCTTATACCACACAAATGTTTTATTCTCATTGTATACTTGTAAAACGGCTCATATTTGCACAATGTAACTGCACAAGAAAATTGCACAGCGGTACACATATCTACACTAACTATACTGCCAGCATTTTTGCACTGTTTCTCATTGTCCATGGTCTATAGTTTATTGTTGTTTGGCGTATATAGTATATTGGTATATATTGGTATATGTATATTTAGAGAAATGTGTACAAGTATTATTTATCCCCCCCCAAATTATCCTCATTGTCGATCTGAGCGTGCTGTTGTCCTGTGTTGGACGTTGCTCCTTTGGTCTCAGGCAGACGTTATTTTGTCTCACTGCGTGCTTTACTGTATATGGACGGAGATGGCACTAAAACTCTACTACTACTATATTGTCTATAAAAGAACAAATGAATCTCTATACCCCTGTGCCAAAATTTTGAATATATAATGCAATTTTTGTTCACAAAGCCCAAAAGACCATTTTGTCTATTTTTTGTTTGTATAGTTTTATTTATGTGTTATTTACTTAGGATATTTAATTTTTTTTGACATTCCAATTCTGATGCATTCATACCAATTAAAGAATTAAAACTTCATTGCTTTCTGAAAGGGTGTACTTGCATTATTATGCTATTATTTTTGGTGTTTTCAGACTTCTTCCATTAAAGAATAATGAAGGCCACCCTAATATTATAAGAATATACAACCTTCCCCAGTTCTGTGGCCCAACACAACTCTCAGTGTATGAGCTCTGAAGGTAATTCCTTTCAGATCATGGCTTGGTTTTTACTCTGATATACATTATCAACTGTGGGACAATAATATAGACAGTTGTGTGTCTTTCCATGTGATCCTAACAATTTAATTAACCACTGGTGTAGTACAACCAAGGTGTAGAAACATTTTAAGGTTGATTAATAAAAATGGGATGAACCTCAGCTAAATTTCCAGTGTCATAGCAAAGGGTCTGAATACTTGTATAATTTTTTTTTTCCAATTGATAATTTTGATAAATTTATTAAAAATGAAATGAAATTCTGTATTCAATTTGTCTTTATGTGGAATTATGTAGGCCTAGACTAATTAGGGAAACATTAATTTTAATGATTACAGTATAACACTGTAACCAGCACTTTAAACATCATCTAATTTTTTTTACAGTGGATATAAAAACATGTACACACCACTGTTAAAATGGCAGGTTTCTGTGATGTAAAAAGTCCACGATAAATCAGTTCAGAATTTTTCCCACCTTTAATGTGACCTATAACCTGTACAATTCAATGCAGCACCAAATCTGATAGGGGGAACATATAAAAAATAAAACATGGACAATAAGCTGATTGAATAAGTGGGCACACTCTTAAACTAATACTTAAACTAATATGTTTTAAGTATTTAGTTTCCGTCTTTTATCAACTTTGGAGGGTTGGTCCCGTTCTTGGTAACATTACTTTTGTACCATATTTTCTCCACTTATTGATGACTGTATCCACAATGTCTAATGCCGTGGAAATTGTTTGGTACTCTTCTCCTGACTGATACATTTCAACAATGAAATCTCTTTGATGCTTTGTAAGCTCTCTGCAAACCATGGCTTTTGCTATATCATGCAACTGAGTGAATATCAGGAAACATCCTGGTAGGACAGCATAACTTTCTTTGGGGTTAATCAGAATCACTGTAACTGGCAGGTGTGACCCAAATAGACTGAATGCTGTAATTAAATCAAAAAGTGCTTCAGCAGAGTATTAGTTTAAGGGTGTGCACACTTATGCAACCAGCTCATTGTATTTTTTTAACATATATTTTTCCTCCTAACAGATTTTCTTGTTTTTCAGTTGAATTGTACAAGTTATAGGTTACGTTAAAGGTGGGAAAAGTTTTGAAATGATCATTTTTTACATCACAAAAACCTGGCATTTTAACAGAGGTGTGTACACTTTTTATATCCACTGTATAGACTCTCTGAAATGTCCGTTGACATTGCATTAATTGCCTCTCAGCATTAGAATAGCTTAAATATTGTCAGCCACATCAATTTGTTCTGTTAAAACACATTTCAGAATCCCTATATTCACATTAAGCCTTTGCATTGCAGTTAGCTATATGTTCAGCAGTTTCTTCTAACTTCTCTTCTGTATGCCGTAATAATGTTACATATTTTCTGACGTTGGTTGTCTTTTTTTAATCCTCTCCTCCGAATTTTATTTTATTTGAACTAATTTCATTTAATTTCATTTCGTTCTCAAATTTTCACTCCATACACCAGGTGGTGATGGTGATCCGTTCAGGCACAGCTGCATTCACCAATGAAGAAGGAGGCTACTGCGGATATTACGGCAGCTAGTGGCAATTTTGTCAACACGCAACGTGTATTTTGTTCCCCGATTTTCTTGGAAAACACGCAGGATTTGTGCAGAGGACGATCGGACATTCTCGGTTTAAGATAAATATCTTTATTTCATTGCTGTGCCGGTAGTAATCCGAAGTGTGTAGCGCCGATTTGCGAGCGAGCCTCTGCCTAGTTGTTAAGTTCTCAAGAAGACAGGAGGCTAAGAGATGTGCAGGAAAAAGGTAGCTGTTTCATTTAGTGTGTTACTGAATTGTATGTCACTGAACATTTGAATAAAGCATTATTTAAAAAATATATATATGCAAAAAAAATATGTTCACTACTAAACAGTCAAATCTGTTTTCATATGCGTCTTGATTAGTGAAACGATGGCAATAATATATATTCAATAATGCAACAGCTTTGATAATATTTTTAGTTCTATATTTTTGTCCAACAAGCTAGTATTTCGAGTAATTGCTGGAATGAAAACGTAAAGCATCTGTTAGATAATTACACACTGCAATTAATACTTTTCCAGAACAGTACCGTAATACTCATCAGACTTCGTGGGTGTAGAGGCAATATTGAGTAATAAACTGAACAATTCTTAGCGTGAATACGGTAAATTATTTCGGCGTTAATCTGGGGAAAAGTTGCCCATGTTTCGGCTGTCAACCTTCCTCTCATTGTTAGTTAATTTATTTGTATTTACGGGTGTGATTTTTCCCTAACTGTCCAGTGGAATATAGTTAATGAAGTCAGACCCCTTGACCGCTTCTTCTGAGTGGTTTAAAGTGTTCTTTGTTTCTGTTATCCAGGTAAAGTGAGAGCCACAGAGGTATTCATTAAAGGCAGCGTGGTGCCGGCTCAGCTCGGCTCGGGCTTACGGCTGCGCTAGGAGGCCCTGCGTGTCCCAGTTGTCATGGCGTGGGCTCTGAAGTTACCGCTGGCCGATGAAGTGATCGAGTCAGGTCTGGTCCAGGACTTTGATGCGAGTCTGTCTGGGATCGGACAAGAGCTTGGAGCCGGAGCCTACAGCATGAGGTAGGGTTTCGGGGGAAGTGGCGCCTGGAAACGCTTCGTGACAGGTTCGGGGTCCCTGAGACTTTAACGCGTCCGAATGGTAGGTTACATGGTGGAAGTGAAATGCGGTCGATTTATCCCTGTCGGAGGGGAGATCTCAGGCTGCCTTTATAGCTACTGCATAGTTCAGATTGGACATGGATGCTGCAGCCTCTCTCTCTCTCTTGGTTTTAGTTTATCTGTCAGACGGAGTTTAAATGTCATAACCGTGCAAGTCACATGCAGAAATCCAGAGTCAGGGAACATACAGCAAATCATCTGTAAGATGGTGCCCGAAAAAAACTGACTCTCGGTATTTTTGGGCACCCTGGATACAGAAATAAATTACATTATGGGGAAATTAGACCATTAACATGGTGTTAGTGTTGGTACACATAATTCTTTTGTTATTCATAATTTTGTGTGCTGGTGCCCTTTGGTCCTGTTATGGAGATATTGACAGAAGAGGAGCAACCTGCTGGTTAACTGCTTTGCCGTTGTGGTTGACCTCCATCATTGTGACTGACTAAAAATGAAGACATTGTTTTATCCTTAAAGTTTGTATGGTGTATATTATCCTTGTTTATGCTGCCTTAGCCTTCCATCTTTGAGGACATTTCTCCTGGAGTGATGAATTAAGCAGTTAGTGGGTTCTGCAGCATTTAATACCAAATAAGCGTAAATAATAATGTGGAAACGGATTTATTCCAGAGAAAATAAAAGTGTGGTGGGACAGCATGTACTGTAGGCAGGCTTCTTTGTGCCCTTGTATCGTTTTGGGTGTCCGAGCTCGGTTTCAAAGTACTAGCTTTGTTGTTGACTGTGAAACACATTCTTGAGTTGAGAGGGAGCCGGGGGCACCTAAGCATGAGCCGTGTTAGCGGAGCGCAAGTCGCCCTGCTCGTTTCCTAGGAAACCGAGGGATTGGAAGGCGCCCGGCCCCCATAAACCACCTTTCTTCCCACTCTCGCATATCCAGTTTCCAAATGTCCTCGTGATTTATTATACTGTAATGGTGCGGTGATGGCACTGAGCCTATTAGCTGGCTGTTCATTTCGAGTTTATTAAGTGGTACCCAGGTGTCACGAAATGTCACAAAAAATGTAAAAAGATATTTTTAAAGTATTTAAAATAATCCAGGTTCATGTGTTCTGGGAAGGATTATGGCTGATTTATTTGTTTCTGCCCCCTTCACAAAAAGAAAAACAAAAGCCTAGGTCCCAGTCGGGCTGAACGGATTATGTGACCTATCTGGCTTGGGGACATCTCCAGGATTTCTTAGAATGTGCTAGAATGTGGAAAGTGAGGTGTGGCCTGAGGTGCTCGGGATCCTGTCACTCCGAACCCTCAGGAGCAGAAGAGGTGCATAGATGGTGTGAGATGAGACCATGAGTTCCACCACCCATGTGTATCCTACCAGGCTTGTGCTGCTAGCATGACCGCGTGTGTCACAGCTCAGCAGAGGTGCCAGCCTGCTAATGAATGAGGCAGTAACATTTCCCAGGTCTTTCTGGGAGCTTTGGCCCTTATTCTGTGCCTCTTCTCCCCCCTCCTTGGTAGTGATGTGCTGGCCCTCCCCATCTTCAAGCAAGAGGAGTCCAATCTGCCCCCTGACAGCGAAAACAAGATTCTTCCTTTCCAGTATGTGCTGTGTGCTGCCACCTCTCCTGCAGTTAAGCTGCACGATGAGACTCTCACCTACCTCAACCAAGGTCAGTGCCCACGGTCAGTGCCCACAGTCAGGCCAGCGTTGAGACCCTGGCCAACCCCTCAGCTGTACACTCGTGTCCATGCTAGTTTAATTGTGACTCCTCGTGCCCTGTGCTGTTTGCGCCTGGTGTTGACAGATTCCACGTGTCTGTTCCAGGACAGTCTTATGAAATTCGAATGCTCGACAACAGGAAAATGGGAGAACTACCTGAAATTACTGGGAAGATGGTGAAGGTGGGTGTGTTTTTGCCATTTACTGATCTCTTATGGTGTTGGGCATATCTGGTATTGTTTTTGCAACTCTTTTCAGATAGCTTGTGTTTTATATGCTTCTGCCATTGCTTCCTGCCATAGCAGTACCTATACATTTCACTGCTGGCTCATAATATTTATGGTAATGCTTTACATTAACGCATCTATTATGCATTCATAGAGCATTCAGTGCATCTTCATAATGCATCCACAGAACATTCATAAGCAGCGTGTAAGTATACCTTAATATCCTAACATACTTTAACAGCTTTAATATACACTAATAGCAAACATTATATGCTAATATGATTGTAATGTTTGTTATTATATAATGTTTGTTATTATTGTATATTAAAGCTGTTAAGGTATGGCAATGTTAAGGTATACTTACGTGCTGCTTATGAATGCTTTATGAAGGTACTTCAGTGTTGTAAAAGGCATTATGAAGGTGCAGTTAATGTAAAGCATTACTATTTTCTATCATATTTTTCATTGTGTTTTGTTTTACAGTAAATCTGGAACTTTTTTTTTATATTTTGGGCAACTTAGCAGGTGCTAGTGCTTTGGGCTGGGACTAGGATATAGATGTTATGTCAGTGAATCAGACGTTTTGGCGATATATTAATTAATGTTCAGCGCTGAAAGTGAAATACATGAAATGGCCATTTAAAACTACGTTAATAAAATGTTGAATGATATTTAAGAACCACAATATTTGTTGTAGTAATAATAATAGTATATTAGACACAGGTTAGGCTTCGGATTATTGATTATCCGTCTCTATAAATCCCATCTACCATAATTTAATTCTTGCATGATTTTCCTCCACCTGCACATTAGAAGGATGTGCCTGCAGTTTTTTTCAGCTGTGTTCTCCGTCCAAATTCGCGGTGCCACATGAGTGGTGTTCTGCCTTATTCCGTGCCTCATATCCCCCCCCCAGAGCATCATACGGGTGGTGTTCCATGACCGACGTCTGCAGTACACCGAACACCAGCAGCTGGAAGGGTGGCGCTGGAATCGTCCTGGCGATCGCATCCTGGACCTGGGTGAGACTTGGGGAACTGTACCGGCCCAGGCCGTGGGGGTCCATACCGAACACCGTGAGGAATTTGTGAATTGTCCCGTGCAGATATCCCCATGTCCGTTGGTGTGATTGACCCCAGAGCTAACCCCACACAGCTCAACACTGTGGAGTTCCTGTGGGATCCCTCAAAAAGGACCTCAGTCTTTATTCAGGTACTGTTTCCGTAGGGGACCCAACTGTGATGTACAATCCCTGTGATAAATGGTTATGAATGAATGGAAATTATCTAGTGTAGAATTACGGTACGTCTACATCCTCTCCCAGGAAACACGTCATCCTGTTCTATTTATCTGTCATTCTGTGAATAAATCTTTTAAAAATTCTTAATGATGGCAACTAATTTTAAGAATCTCTGGGACAGCTTACTGATATTTTGATTTCTTTCCAGACAATATGTATGTTGAGAATGATGAGAAGGACACTTTGGCTTGGTGTATTTTCAGAATCTTGACGCTGTCATCAGATGTCAGATTGAATGTGTTTGCCTTGTGATGTATCTACCCAAGCCTGCATGCTGACTCCGGCCACCAGCTGTGTCACTGGGCTGCGCAGTGACGGCTTTTTGCGTCTTCGCTAGGTGCACTGCATCAGCACAGAGTTCACCATGCGCAAGCACGGCGGCGAGAAGGGCGTGCCGTTCCGCATCCAGATCGACACCTTCAAGGAGAACGAGAGCGGGGAGTACACGGAGCACCTGCACTCTGCCAGCTGCCAGGTCAAAGTCTTCAAGGTGAGGTAGGGGGGCCTTGATGGCACGACGGTCCCTCAGAGTCCGGGAGGGACAGCGGATGGAGCCAAACGCGGCCTGTGCTGCTGCTGTCTTGGTCTCTCGGCTGTGAAAGCGGCTGCCGTAATGCTTCTGGCTGCCTTGTGCACGGGACATGCTTGGTATTGACCTGAAGTTGGGATGGGTCTCTCCGCTTTGCTTTCTAGCCCAAAGGTGCAGATCGAAAACAGAAGACCGATCGTGAGAAGATGGAGAAGCGAGCACCGCAGGAGAAGGAGAAATACCAGCCATCTTATGAGACCACCATCCTGACTGAGGTCTGAATTCGGAGCATGGAGTAAGGAATATAGAGGGGGGACACTGAGCTCAACAGGCATAGTGATGGGAGACATGACACTATGAACCTCGAAGTGGGTGGGGTTACCATTGCCATTATCGCTGATTGATTTAATGCAGTGGGCATCAAGCAAGTAAACAAATGGGAAGTGGGCCAAGCACTGCGTGATAATCCCACCCAACATGTGCTTTTGAAACTTTGCTTATCCAGTAACAAAAAGGATCTATAGAGATGGGGAGATCTGAGTTTTAGTATTTCAACAACACATCCGCATTGTGTTTTTGGTGTTTTTGGGTATTTAATTTACTGTACAGGTAGCTCTATGCTTTATGTAGATGTTCTGGGAAAGTCACTAATCTGTTTGGGCCAGTATTGGTAGAAGAACAGAATACATTGATGTTCCCTGATGTAGTGCAGGAAGATGAATAAGCTATGTAAAGTAATGCCACTCTACAAAACCTTTTATAAATTACACACCTAAGATCAAGGCCTTTGAAAAATATATTTGCCTGAAGTTAAGAAGCTGATTTTACTTAGAAATTATGCTTATTTGATGGAGTCTCTCAATCAAAATGACCTCTGCAATTAATGTCATTATATTAATGCTCAAGAATGTCACAAAAATATTATAGTCCGTAAGATAGTCTTCGTGTCTATGTGGTTGAAATCAGGCAACTGCTGAGCTGACTAGCCAAAGATCATTTGCACGGGCAAAATTTACTATCTAATTAGGGAGGAACTGATCAGTTGAAAAGAGCAGAATTAACCTAGAGCTCTCAAATGACATGACCATGGCTGACTGAGGTGTCTTGCAGTGCTCTCCTTGGCCAGAAGTCACCTACGTCAACAACTCCCCGTCTCCTGGCTTCAACAGCAGCCACAACAGTTTCCCAGTAGCAGAAAGGTAAGTGACTGGAACATTAAAGTCTCATAAGTCAGCTGTTTAGTTGCCTGAAGTGACTTTTATATTGACATCCATGTACAGCCTCTCCCTAGGTTACAGTGAGGTTACCTACCGCTAATCCTATCGTAAGCCGAAGATATCCTAAGGCAAAAATGCATTTTAATACAGTACCCCTAACCTAACAAACATAATAGCCCAGGCTAGCTACCTTAAGCATGATTAGAACACTTACATTAGCCTACAGTTGGGCAAAATCATTAACTAAAATCATCGTAACCCGGGGAGCGTCTATATTGTGCAAATGTTTCCAAGGCCAGTTAAGAAGGAAAAATGCTGACTGATCTTCCTGTTTTTCCCTCCCTGAAAGTAACGGTTCTCCGAAACACCAGCCGGAGCCTGTGGTGCAGGTGGCGGATGTGAGTAATTGTGTCCTGCGTGTGTCCATCTCGCAGCCTGTATGACTTTAATATCATGATGACTGATGACACAAGCAGAGGTACCCAATCCTGGTCCTGGTTCTGCTTCTAGCAGGCTACTCTATGTGTAGGTTCTTCAGATTGTCTTGAAAATGACTCTAATCCGGACGCTGAATAGAATCAGATGGCAAAGGGACTTGAAAGTGAGAGGCAGGTTCGTGGGCAACATTTCTCTTTTCAGGGAGAAATAAGGGCAGAATGAGTTTGGGCCGACACTGAACAAACTTAATCAAATCCAGGATGCATCGGGGAGCAAACTGAATGGGCGTATGGGTCTCGGGACTGGCGTGGAAGTGGGGTTAGGGTCAAGGAGGAGGGCACATTCAAATACACCAATATTTACATATTTTTGAGAGTGAAAAGCAGGCAGCGCAAACCTATACAAGTGAACCTGACTTTGCATTCCCGAAATGGCGTGTGACCAATTCCACGCAGCCAACAACGTAATATATCAGTATTTAAAGAGACTTCTTTGTTCATGTCAGTTAGTTATTATCTAAATTTACTTTGTTCACATTGGTTGTAAACCTGCAAAAATTGCCAAAACCAGGCCTGGGGGGTATAATGTTGAGGTACCTGGTAAGTTAGGGCTTATAATTGATGGTGTGATATTCTTAACTGATATTCAATCAACATATCTGGGTATGAAAATGTTCCTTTTCTCCCCACTTGCATGAGTCTCGATGTTAAGGCCATTTCTAATACTAAGACTGGCGCTCTCTGCTCATGAGGTTAATGGATTTTAATGGGTTGAGTCATCACAAGCACTGCGGCGACATGTTTACAACTAACGTGATGATTGTGTATGGAGAGGAGGAGCCCTGCCTTTTGTGCCAGCATGCTGCTTAACATGGGCAGGAAGCGTCTCTAACTGAACTTGGGTTTTGATTGTGGAAGTGTACAAACCACACAGCTCTCACCAAACGCAAACAAGGTAGCATGATTTAGAAGCTGAGGTAGACCAACAGACAGCTTGGTGTCTACATTTGCTTATGTCTTACCACTGTACAGTGAAAGAAAATCAAAATGAGAAGACTTGTTTCTCATTGTTTTTTCTCCTTTCTGCTTTCAGCTAGAAATTAACTAAGTTCCCTGTTTGTTAAAGTCCATAACTACCTAGGTGTAATTCCTGGACTTTTTGTTTTTGCATTTTGTATTTCTGTCTCTGGGGGGCATCAATCTTAAATCTTGCTTTAAGCCAAGTTCATCAAAAAGGTAGAGCTGCAGCAGACCTAAACCACCCCTAAAAATCACCAAAGAGCAGATTAGCTCCAAAAAACATTATTTTCCGTAAACAGATTTTTACGAGGTAGGTGCCATGTTTCATATGGCTGCTATCTTGGTTGTGGCTTAATCGTGGTGCATGTTGGAAACCATTTTCCCTTCACCTCATTTGCAAATGAATGTTAACATTTTCAACTAAAACCTGGGGGGGGGGCGATCTTCATATTTTAATACCGGTTGCAGGAACCTGCGGTGACAGGTCTGTTTACCCACTTCCTTTGCTTGCTGTGTGTCGTGTTTAAGCCAAGAAGATAAACTGTGACAAAGGAGGGGTGGACTGGGATTGATGATGTAAAGTTATAAAATTGAGAGACGTTCTGCCTTACAGTTGTCCTGCCATCTACTTAGAAGAGACAGTGAGAGCTCTCAGGTACATATGAATTTATTTATTGATTTTTATTTTAAATCTCATTCTCTGTTCGCTTTAAGAACCGTATATGATTGAATTGTGATCCCATTGACTCAGGTACTTGTTCCAGTCAGCTGTATTTATAAAAAACAATAAAATAAAAAAAACACACGTCAGCTGGATGAATATATTAAGGATTCTAAAGCAACTGCAGTGAAAAGAACAAATGTAATCTACGAATTTTTCAGTGTACAGTCTGAAATGTGAGGTGGTGTACATTTAAGGTACTAGAGACCTGTGGGTGCATTTAGATTTGCAGAAGAGTATCTGTGTTGTGTAGGGAAATTCTAATTTTTTTTTTTGTGCAATTGAATTCAGCTCCTACAGGATATACCAGTTTGATAAGAGAACTTTTTGAAGTCATAAAAATTGCTGTCTCCTTTCTCTCTTCTGGAAAACGCAGAACCTGTCACCTACGGCAACGCCTCAGGACGCACAGCAGTGGCTCCATAGAAACCGCTTCTCGCCGTTCTGCCGGGTCTTCACAAATTTCTCTGGTGAGAACCCTTTGTGATCAAGATTACGGGCGACTGTAAACCTTAAACCTTTAATTCTTGCAGAAATATTGTGTTTAAACTCTTTAAGCTGATTAAGCTGTGTCAAGAAATATACACTCACCAAGCACTTTGCCTACGCCTGCTCTGTCATGCCAGTATCTGATTGGTCAGTCATGCGGCAGCCGCTTTGTGCATAAAATCATGCAGGCGTGGGTCAAGAGTTTCAGTTAATGGCCTTATCACACATCAGAATGGGGGGGGAAAGGTGATCTAAGTGACTTTGACACTGGCTTGGTTGTTAGTGCCAAACAAGGGGGTCTGAGTGTTTCTGAATTTTACAGGACAGTCTGTGCAGTTCACACAGAACGGTGAAAAAAGGCAAAAAAAAACAGTGTGATATGCAGTATTATCGCCATTCCTTCATTTTGCAGATACTTACTTTATCCTGACTTTAGTGCTATATAAATAAGCTTATATAAATATGAGGCCCTTTATTCCAGCGTCCAGTGATCCAGTGACTGGAGGTATGGACACCAAAAGAGCAGTTGGGTTCATTACTATTCATGTAAACAAACAGGAAGTTGCAACATTTTAGTTATTGCGACAGACCTGCCGGTCACCAGATCTGAATCCAATACAGCACTTTTGGGATGTGACAAATCTGCAGCCATTACGTAATGCAGCCATGTCAACATGGACCACAGTGTCTAAGGAATGTCTATATAGCACCATGTTGAGTCTGTGCCACAAAGAATTCAGGCTGTTCTGAGAGCAAAGACGGTCCTATGCAGTATGATAATGGTGTTCCTAATGAAGTGGCTGATGAGTATACATATGTATTTTGGAATAGTTTAATGCAGTGTGCTGGTGTTCAGCTGTAGCCTGTGTGTTAGGGGCGGACCTCCTGAAGCTTACAAGGGAAGATGTCATTCAGATTTGCGGCCCCGCAGACGGCATTCGACTCTTCAATGCACTGAAAGGGCGGTAAGTGTGGACAGCTTCCTGTTCCCGTTCGCATTCTACTGAGAACTTGCCTCAGTCCGGTCATTTGCTCAGGAAATGAGGCTGGATGTGGTGGGGATGGTGCTTTGTGGGACTCTACGGGTGAGTCCTGACCGGCCAGCCGGTTTGGGAAGGCTCCGCTCCGCTCCGCCCGCATGTGGAACACGCCAGTGTGTCTCGTGCCTTCAGGGTTCTGCGTCCACGGCTGACCGTCTACGTCTGCCAGGAGTCGCAGCAGGTGCGGGAGCAGCAGCAGCAGCAGAAGCAGGAGAACGGAGAGGCGACTGGCAGCACCTTCTACGGTCAGTAACTCCCAAATGTCTCCTCCCCTCCGGGAGTAAAAGCATCAGCGACAGCTGTTTTCTTGTGTTGTACAAGTTAAGGTTGATGTCCATTTTAAAGTACTTTCAAATAAGTTGCCTGTAATAGTATTATTTTTAAATATTTAAAAATAAACAACAAATCGAAATAGTTATAGCAGTCCGTGTGATGTCACTACACTATTTTCTATCATTTTGTTTAACTTGAATTTGCTAATTTATTGATGGTGTCTGTACTCCAAAGCCTGTGCTACCCCTGTACATATGGGCTTGTGTATTTCGTCATTAATGTAGTTCACCAGTGTTCCCATTCCATACGACCTGAACTGTTGGACCAGTAGTGTAACACTTCCATCCCTCTACCACCCCCATCCCAAAAATAGTAATGCTGGGGTTTGTGTTGGAGGAACGGGGGCTTCTGCATGATTTTGGACCTGACTGAAGAGAGAAGGAGAAAACCAGGCCACACCAGTTCCATATAAAAGCTTGCAACCTCGTTATACTCAGGTGGACAGTAACAGAGTAAATTTACTCATATTACTGTAACAGGGTATTTTTATTGTACTTAAGTAAAAGTTCTGTTGTTTAAAAATACTTAAGTATTATTAACTTCAGGAATTATACATATCTACTAAAACTTTATCTAACCTAAGCCTATTTTCCCCTACGAAGGGAATAATCGCTGGTTAGTTACCGTCTGATACCGACACTGGATTACTAGTCTGATATCAGTTATCAGTCATATCACCATATCCTCCTGAGACCCAAGGGAAAAAAGTGTCCTTCAATTTTAGGTTATTTGCGATTTTCTACGTCTTAGGGGGAAATAAGACATCTTACAATTTAGATTTTTTCAATTTTATTTTTAATTTCACAGCATGTCCTCTTTAGTGTACAACAGGAATAAATATGTTTCCTTACATCAGTGAAAAGATAGATGCAAAAACAAAATGTCCACTGCAATGGACATAAATGAATGGGTGGGGTCTCAGGAGGTTACTGCACGGGCGGAGGTTACTGCACAGGCGGAGGTTACTGCACGGGCGGAGGTTACTGCACGGGCGGAGGTTACTGCACGGGCGGAGGTTACTGCACGGGCGGAGGTTACTGCACGGGCGGAGGTTACTGCACAGGCGGAGGTTACTGCACAGGCCTAGTGCTCGCCCGACGTCACGACTGCAGTGGCCTACAACTGTGACCAAGTTACCTACAAGTATCCTATTTTGTCTATAAAAAGAAAATATCCACTTATCCTCTTGAGACTCAGCTTTCCTTATCGCGATGCACTGTAACTTGCAGTGCTGTAGACTTGAGGGAATTTATAAGGATAGGCAGCTTTTTGTAAGATCAAATAATTTGAATGTGTAGTACTTTTTACATTTAATACTTAAGTACTTTAAAAACCAGGCACTTTTTACTTTTAATTAATAGTATGAGTATTATTAGTACTACATTTGAGTAGTATTTTACTGGAAGACTCTTATTTTAAAATACAATCTAATAATTAGACCTCTGTGCTACGGATTGGCCTTAGTCTGACCTCTGCTGGACAGTCATAATCTAGCCCTGGGTCTTTTTGACATGGTTACTCTCAGGTATTGTGCTAATGCTTAGCCTTTTCCTTCATGAAGAAAGGGCTAAATTCTACATTTTGTGCATGTCCTTAGTGTACCATGCCATTTACCTGGAGGACCTGACGGCAGTGGAGCTGACTGAGAAGATCGCCCAGCTCTTCAGCATCTCCCCGCAGCAGATCAGCCAGATCTTCAAACTGGGTCCCACTGGTATCCACGTCCTTGTGAGCGATGAGGTGAGCCGTACCCCTTTACCTAACCCCCTCCAGTTCCTAATCAGGTGGTTTGTAAAACGATAGTTCACTTTTTCTTGCAGATGATTCAGAACTTCCAGGATGAGACATGCTTCATCCTGGACACGATGAAAGGTAAAAAATCCTCATCACTATGCCAGTGTGAGGGCAATGCAGATGGCTGCATAGAATTTGGAGAGTGCAATGTTAACATTTCCTACATATAATAAAACTGGCTGTTTCCTGTCCTGACAGCGGAGACTAATGATGGCTATCACATCATCCTGAAGTGAGGAGACGCCAGCGGGCAATAGAAGGAAAAAGTTACGAATGGACTTTGGGGGTGGGGTGGGGTGGGGTGGGAGGGGGGGGTGGCGGAGCATAGGGCTTAATTCTTCAGCACTGTTTCCTGGTTCCCATAATTCCCTAGCAATCACTTATATGATTTCTTTTGCACTGTGTGGAAGAGCATCCTGTTGTGTCATCCCAAACTGGGATCCTCAAGAGGTTGTCACTGTAGCATTATGGGACTGAAGACGCACCCCAATGTTTATCTGTTTTATTTATTTTTTTGTTTTACCTAGTCATTTTCAATGGAGAGTGATTTTGTATTAGCACCCCCGACTTTTTACATTTTTTATTATTCCTTTCAGAAGCACCCCACCCCCAAAAAAAGTAAAAAGAAAAATTCTGCATCCACTGAGTATTTGGTGTGCCAAATCAAAAGCTGACACTTGGAATGTGCCATCCTTGGTCAGTTCTGTCCCTTACTCTTATGGGTCATTCTGATTGCTGTAACTGTCCTCCCTAATGTGTAGTTACTCTAAAGCCTGAAAGAGCACAGGCAAGAAAATTGGGGGCATAACTTAAAAACAATAAAAAAAAAAAAATAATAATAATAATACTAAATAGTAGAATGGCAGAGTTTATCAGAGTGGGTAAATATGGGTAAGGCTGCTATCAAAAGTTTTGAATTTATTTAGTCAAAGGTATGGTGGGTAGTGCTAATCGTTTGGGGGGGGGGTGCTAAAGGCTAACACTGAATGACTGTCTCTGACATTAGGCTTGCCTGCTGATTCTGTGGGTAGCACTGCTACCTGAGGTTTGAGCCCTACTTCAGCTCTGGCTGTTAGGGGTTTGCGTGCTCCGCCTGTGCCGCCTGTGCCGCCTGTGCTGTGTGGGTTGCCTCTGGTTCTCCAGTTTCCTCCTGCATTCCAGAGACATGTAGTTAGGCTAACTGACATCTCCAGATTGTCCATAGTGTGTGTGTGTGTGTGTGTGTGTGTGTGTGTATTTGTGCTCTTCACCTTTTGCCCTGTGCTCCCTTTTGCCCCCAACCCTAACCTGTGTAAGCAGTTGGAAGATGGATGGATACCATTGCCATTATAATTTTTATGATTATTCTTTAAACTCTAATGGATATCTGTAGCCATTCTTTGGAATGAGGACAAAGGAGAACAAACCAGGCAGGGGACTCCGTGTGACAGAGCATCTTTCTTGTGCTCCCTGCCTCCACAGTGCACAATCACAGATTCAAAGAGAGCATCTTTCTCCTATTTATTTTGAAAGAAAATGGCTTGTGTTCAAATTATGATAGATAGGTGTGTGTGTGTGTGTGTGTGGGGGGGGGGGGGGGGTTAAGGTAGCAGAGGGCTGCCTTTTGCATAGTGCTTCTCTTTTTTTAGATGAAACTGCTTCAGCTCATTGGTAAACATGGGCCATTGGTATCTCCAGCTGAATTCCCACCAGTTTGCAGAGTGTTTAGCTGCTTCTTCTCAGTCCAAGTTCCCAACTCTCTAACCACCAGGCAAATGGTGGTTAGAGAGGAAGATGACGGCAGACGTCGTATGTGAGCCCTCTCCTTAGAACGTCCCATTCTCTAACTCAGGTAGTAGCTTGACAAGCGCCAAAACAGAACTTCATATGTGGTAACAACTCTCTGGATCCCTACATCATCCTTCAGTTACTTAGGTGGAATTAAGGGTGTGCAGAACATCATACAAAAGGAATGTTTAGAATAAGCATTTTAAGAACTTTCCAGCTCAATTTGGTCAATTAATACATTTGGATATTTGTTTGTCCCCCATATTTAAGTTTCATGAGCAGTGGTAACATTAATTATAACCCATGCCAAATGCATAGATGGATAGGAAGATTTTCTCATTCTAATTTCTTTGCCCCTAGTCCTTACCACCAGAGTGAATAATCTACTTACATGACTGCATTGTCTTTTATTTAAATTTAAATGCAGCTTCCCCTTATTTCACCCATGTTGTAGCAATGTCGTTTCTGAAGAGATTTTGAGCAACTGAATATCATAACCAGCCATTAACTTAAAGCCATAACCTGCAGTGAGTCGAGTCTTGAATGTATATCTAGCAGTTTCTTTTGTAATGTCATCAACTGTTAGTTGCCTTTTTAATCTGTGATTTTCATTTTCAAGTAACTGTCTCCAGAAATTACCTGTGATATTCCTGTATAATTTAGATCATTTAAAAATAGTGAGCATTTTAGATGGAATTTCTGATGGATTATTGCCTTTGGTGCATCATCTGCGAAAAATTGGTTCAACGGCATTGCCCTCCTTAGCAAAAACTCCCGAGTCACTTTTTTGACCATGTCGTCATTCATCTTATATCAGTGGAGTTTGAATATGACGCTGTCCTTAGTTGCCATGGTGACAGAATTACACGGAAGCACGAAAATATTAATAAACATAACTATCACCACTGAAAATATTTTTAATGAAATGACTCAAATGCTTGTTTTATTTGAACTGCACTTAAAATATAACCGATGGTAGCCCGTCGAGAAACAATGACTTTACACTTTTTATACATTTAAGAGTAAGCTATTTTTAAAGTAGCCAGTGTTAACACTTTTTTTTTTTTTTTAACAAATTAACACAATTCATCCAATGGCTGATTTCACTTCATAATTCAACATTTTAATATAATATACGCTGCAACCACAGAATGCATTACATGTCATGTGTTTTGGTAGGTGACCTCTGGGGTTGTGTGAAGGACTTATGGGAAATGAAGTGCTTTAACATTACGTACAAAAAGCCTTCATTTTAATTTAAACGGGGACTGAAATGCAAGCTTTATTTACTTTGAATTTCAGCTAATTTTACATATTGTTGCGCGACCGTTTCCCCCCATATACCTGTGTCTCTGTACTGAATCGTATTATAACCGAGTTGTGTAGCTGTTTTCTGCAAATACTCGTGCCCAGGGATAAGTTCTTGCTACTGCTAATAATACAAAAATTCTAGTATTTCTTCGACCTAGGATGTTTAGATACCAGTAGCATGATGTAATCGGCTAAAGATTAAACGCGGTTCTAATTACTTGCTGAAGGACTGATACAGAAAAAAAAATATATGAAGCAAAATGCTGCCTTTGTCGAGAATCGTGCGAAGAAAGGTATGCTGACCCAAATTACTTGCCCTTTGTTACAGAACGAGGTGATATGACTACATGTCCCGGCATTCATGTGACGTTGATGGCGTCACGGTGAATATATATGGCTACTGTGTAGCATTCCAAACGCTATTGTTACATTGTAACAAACCGGGCAGCAGAAGGGGAGAAGATCTACGATTTTCCCCAATATTCTGGAAATCTTGCGCCGGGAAATGCAAAATTACAACACCATCAAAGAAGAGAAACAGACGATACATTTGGAAACTACATACGCGTAACAAGACCGCCCTGATTACAAAAAACGAACAGGGTGCAGCGGACTGTACAGTAAATACACGCATTTTTAAAAGGATCAACGAGAGAAGAGAAAACAATAAACACCCTTCTGTTATTTCGCAAGCGAGAGAAAAATATACAAAATAAAACATTTAACACAACTGTGGGAAGTCTTCTTATTGCTTGCCCCGGGTTGATCGGTATAGCTGAACCATTTTTCTGCCATAACGCAAAATTGCACATATTCTAGCAGCTCTAAAACAACCGAACGTATTTTTTTCTGTCTAGTTCTAACGCACAGTCCTAAAGTAACATTTCACAGCAACGTGCGCAGGACAATATCACTACTTACAAATGTCTGCGGTTTTTCTTCGACAGATCTGATACGATAATTTCTTTATTCGCATAGGCGATCGTTGTACTCAAAGCAGATAGTGGGACGGAAAAAAGCAAGATCAGAACAACAATATAAAAAGAAAAGTGCAGGGACTTGGTAATTATACTCAGAGAATCAGAGGCCGGCGAGACCGATCTCCGTTCCTCTCAAGGTAAGGAGTCCGAGGGCTTTGGGGTTCCTGACAGTTTGCCAAATGCCATATTTGAGAGAAAGACTGAATGAATAGCGTGTGGAAGCAGGGCGTGCTGCCTGGTTTGCCTTGAGTTAGTCTGCTGATGTCTATTAGTGGAGGAGAGCTGGTGCTTTATCGCCAATACCTGACTGCTGTGGTTTCTCCAATAACTGTTTAAACATCTGCCGTATTTCACTACGCACGCCCATTTAGCTTTTACATTTAACCTTGCCCCCATACTTACGAAGGGACCCGACGAATAGATGGCTGAGATACCGAAGACACCAATGTCTTTAAAAGAAATGCTTTTATTTTCGGTTTCAACTGTGCCAGTTGGAACCAGTATTATAATGTATTTCTATGTAAAAAAAAAAAAAATCTTCAGTATTATGTGCAGGACTGGATACTTGCTGACCTTACGTACTGCCTTTTTTTTACAATTAGGTTCGTCTCTTCGCGGTTGGGCCACGTTTATGTGTTACGGAGTTCATTTAACCGTTTAATATAACCGTAAACGTTTAAGGCAGCTTTTCATGGAAATGTATACAGTAATCTAAAGATAAGAACACATTTTCTCATGAGTCTGCATGGTTCTCTTTATTATTGGCATAGTGGCCAGATTCCGTAACTCCTTGTTATCCGTAAATTTTCATGACTGGAACCTTATCAAAAACGGTGACTCAGACTAACCTCGATCAAATCCAAGAATATATCGTAACAATCCACCAGGCAGCAAATTGCCATTTAACCTTGTCCGAGTTGTCATATGACTCTTTAGACCCGCCGTGACAGTGAAACGTAGGGCCCTACTGTTGCACTGTTGTTTTGTTTGATGTGCAGGCCTGTGTTGTCCTGGCTGATGGATTTGGGGGTATCCATGTCTAAAAAGGAATGTGTGATGGAAGAAACATGTGTAATGCGTGCAAAGAAAGTCCTAAGTGTATCACCGCAACAGCGGGTCAGATTCTCAAGGAAGCATAGGACTGTGGCAAGGTGAGAGACATGGCCTAGGTGTGAGAGGGAGACTTTGGGATGCTTTAACCAGAAATTTCAGTGAAAAATGTATTTCTGCTTCAGCTTGTGGGCAGCTGACTGTCCACCAAATGCAGTAAGTTCTTAAAAAAGAAATGGGATTTTTTTCCCATTGCAATGGATGTAGTTCTGTAGTGTTCAAAATTACACAAAACACCACTCGGAGATAATCTGTTATAGAGGGGCTGTCATACACGGTTCTGCTGGGCTGTATGTGCAGCTTTTGGTTGCAGTCCTTTCTCTTACGGACCGTGGCACATTCATAATGATTTTACATGACAAAGAGTGTTTAAATATGCATTCCGATACAGCATGTTACCAGTGTAATTTTGAGAAAAGGCATTGATAGGAGCAGCTGGCAAATTTAACCACAAACTACAGTGACTGAAGCTTACCTAAGAAGTGATGGTTGCATACTAACAATGTACCTGCATCTCCTGAACTGTGTGCTTTATTCTGATAAGAGACAAGCCATTTTGAAATATATTGAAAGGTGAAGCTATCTGATGTCATACTGGGTAAACTATGCTATATAAATAGATGTATATCTCACATTGGCTATATATAAATGTATGTCATATTAATCAAAGTGGTAACAAGATATTATGTGAATCCTAATTATGTTTCACTAATCCACCTAAAGACAGAACATATTTCAGGCACTGTAGGGGGTGGTCTCTGGAAAGTGGCTGTGAATTAGCTGACTTAGGAAGATTAGCATATTTGGATAGCATTTTATAGGGTTTTGGGGGGTCAGCTGTTTCTGTTCATTTATTACTCTTAGAGAAAGGGAGCCTTTTTCTGTCATAAGGAAGAAAGAGCATTCAGTGACCTGCCGCTTTCTCCCATCTTTCTGACACTGTGGGGGAAAAAGTATCCCCAGAATAATTCCATTGTCTCCCCAAATTAAAGATTTGGAAAGTTGTCATTGTATAACTTGGGTGTCTTATCTTTGTTTTGTTTCAGAAGATGTAGTCTCAATCCGGATTACAGGATATTCATTTTTTGCTAACAGTCAGCTCTTAATTGCAATAAATGATGATTCTGAATGATTTATTTATTTACCTCACCTACTGATATTCATGGCAGAAGCGAGGGTGCTGGACAAAGTCGCGCCTATTTCATAAAACCTTTCTCTCCATTATTCTCCATATTCTAAGCGCTGGCGCCTTTGCAGTTGAATATGCAGTTCAGGAATTAGATTTCAAACAAGAAGGTGCTATAGGTACAGTGTGGAACCTCAGAGAACCTGTAAGCATAAACAGATAGTATTTTGTAGATGTCTGAGCAGTGCCTTGTCATGTGCCTAGTCACATGACCCTCGGTTAATTTTCTTGCGCCAGTGCTGCTTCAGAAACCCCATTTATGCGTCTCTGGCAAATCACAGCTTGGCAGGGAGAACTTTCGAGAATAGTGAACCATCGTTTCTGAACATGTCAGTCTCCCACGATTGGCTTATGAGACATGGTGGGCGTTGAATGCCTCTTACTTCTTGCAATGCTGTCATTCAATGGCTATAAAAACTTTGATAGCAAGTCTTTGGTGAGCCCTGTATGCACTTTCATGAACACAAGTATTACTATAGTCTCCAAAACCATGTGAGGAATCACAGTTAGAAATTTAAGTCTTGCTGCTACTGTGAGAAATCAGTTGACGAGAAATGGGAAATGGAAAGCATTGAAGAAAAAGCATTGTTTTGTATTTTATTTATATATTTTTTTTTACAATAATTAGTATAAAATTCAATAATCCTATTTTGAGAAAAAATTTAAGTTGAAGTATCGGAGAGAGCTAGTTTCCAAAGGCACACATTCTTGCATGTCTGTATTTCCCTCCATAATGGGGCATTTGGGTTCACACGGACAACTCATTGCTTGTCTTTGAGATGAATTATTTTGGACAAAGCAACTTTTTCCCATTGGCGGTAGATAAAATTGGAGAATGTTATGATAGAGTGTCATGTTTGTAGGTCCTCAAGATTACTCAGAGTAGGGTGATTCACATGCTATTTTGGACTGTTGAATTTCTGTGCCTATGATAGTCTTTTTACTAGATAATTAAATGCAATCTTATGCTTTTTGATTTTGTATAGAGACATTGGCTCATTCTGGTAGTTGTAACATTAATCTTTAGCCTCATGTTTGCCTCCAGGCAGCCATGTAAATTTTGTTAATTGTGCTTTTTTGTTTAATAAAGTTGCACCCCAATGGTGATGCTTTACTGGAAAGTTCATTCAGCCCTGAAAATGTGAAGCGATGTTGTATCTATCAAAAGCATCTTACTGGGAGACTAGCCAAAGATGGAGACCCACCTAGACTGACCACAGTATCCCAGTGTAATGTCTGTTATTGAAAAGAAGGGCTCTGGATAGAGGCACGGATATAAGGAAAGGGCCTGCACATTCGTTCCAGTGCAGCTTATATAAACTGTGCTTTTCCAGTTGTCATGGTAACATTTTCTGACTTCTCGGTCTAAATGTAATTTTCGTATTAGACAGGAGGGGGGGTGCAACCGAGACAGAAAGCGGAACAGAGCGAAGGTAATGTTATCTTTGGGTATTTTAGAATAATCACACCTAACTGGCCTTTGTTTAATGGGGGGGAGAGACATAACTGACCTAAATGTTAGGAGTCTCATACACGTGCTGTGTATGTGAGAGCCCCCCCCCCCCCCCCGGCCCCTGCACCCAACCCCTGCACCCAACCCCATATCCATGTTCACAACAATAAATTGCTCACCAATGCCTTACACACTTTATTCCTCTACTAGTGTCCTTGTGAATGATATTCGGTTGTTTTGGACTTAACTTGTGAACAAGTGCTCATACAGCCCTGTGCGAAAGTCTTAGGCAGCCAAAGAGAATGATGCTAAATTGATCTTCATGTTGGTGTAAAACTGCTATTATGCCTGTCAGAGTGTGTTAGCTTAGCCATTTCAAAACCTCTTCTAAAATCACCCCATTATTTCCAGCAGTCATACAGTCCAGCCATGTATTTTTTCACTCAATCACTAGCTCACCTAGTGCATCTAATCAGTAGATCACTGACTTTTTTTTAACGAATTAAGTTAATTAATTAAATGGTAACATTGAATAAACACTTGAAATGGCTGGGGTGCCCCTGAGGAGAGGTTAGGGAGCCGAATTGGTGTTCATCTAGCCATCCAACTAGATATCAGTAACTTTCTGGAGAACATAAGACATTTTTACTAGTTTTTATTGTGTTGCTCTTAATTTTTATATGTTTTAATGTTAAATTGTGCTTTTTTTTTGTTCTGAGGTCATTTGCACTTACTACCCACTTAAATAGCTTTAAACATTTTTTTTCACAGTACTGCAAATTCATCCTCACTGGGTGGCAGATCAGCTTCAACTCTGGTAACAAGCGGCAGGTGCCGTGGTTGTTAAGGTAGTGGATTTCTAACAAAGAGGGGGCTATTTAGCCGTTTTACCTTGTGGGGTGGCTCTGTGTCGGGTGTGACTTATCTTTTGGGGACATGTATGGCCACTGTGCTGAACTGTGCGGCTGATTTAATCCAGAATGCATTCATTCCATGTGCAAAACTGATTTTACTATGCCTGAGTACATGAACGAATACACACACACACACACGCTCTTATTGAAGAACCTATTTATCACAAACTGCATTTACATGCCATTAGGTCAAATGCTTATTTTCTGTGTTGTATCCTTTTAGTAGGGCTGAGCTAAATTTAAGGGACACTGTACTGAAATGACTGTTTGAGTAGACGCACCAATAAGGAAAGCTGTACTTTAACTGCTCGGTGTCCTACCGGTCAGGTTGGAGTCTACAGCGAGGAGCCGGAACAGCGGGGGCAGCCAAGCGGCTACAGCCAAGGTTTGTTATTCCCTGTGATTTTTTAAAACACTCTAAATGCATTTTAAGAAGTTTCAGCACCCACAGAACTGTGTGTTACGTTTACAACTCAGTCACAGATTAAACCATTTAGCATGCTGAATAGCTGATATTTGGTAAGTGGTGTTTGCCTGTCTTCTGAATTTCACAGTATCCTCTCTGATTTTCCAGCATGCCTCTCTGGTCACTTAAAGCTGGCTTTTATGTAAAATGTGCCAGCTTACACTTGCAGATGAACACTTAATGTAGCTGTTAGGGGACGTCCATAATTTAAGCAGAAGATCACATTTTATAAGTATATGAATTATGATTTTATTTTTTTGGAGGCTTCTTGGAAAACGACTAGCAATCACTGATGTTTGTGCAGTAGTGTTGTGCGATTCTCTGCTGCTTCCGGGCCTGTTTGTTATGTCAGTCACGCCGTCTCTTCTTTCAAAGTGTTGGACACGCAAATGTAAGGGAGGGGAGACACGTTTCTCTGGCCCTTCTCTGGACTACATCCGTGACTCCTGGCCTCCCGCATGCTTGTCAGCTCTTGACCGCTTGTATTCATCTCTCTGTCCCCACAGTTGGGTCAGGAGCCATGGAGGTGGTGTCCGTGCTCGGCCTGAAGAGGAGGTTTGAGGAGGTGGACAGTGGCTCCCCTTGCTCCACCCCCAAGGACTCGGATGACGACATCTCCAGCAGCGACAGCGCCGACAGCTGCGACAGCCTCAACGCCCCCTCCACCACCTTGCTCTCGCGTAAGGACCCCCATCCCATTGCCGGTGGCCTGTTTCCATATTACCAGGAAATTGACAGCTGTCATATCAGAAAGGCCCACTAGATGGAGTCGGGAAACAAAGAGCAGGGATCTTTTTCTTAAAGAAGATGGAACTGCTTCAAAGATTCAGGTGTCCACACCATGATTCACTCTCACACTTTCTCGTTGATTGTCCCCATGCTACTGGCTGCAGCAGATCTTGTTTTTAATGGGGGGACGGCAGTGTAATGACTGTGCGCTGGCATGTGAGAACATCTGCGCACAATTGAGCCTCGTTCAGGTTCCTCACGCCGTCCGCGCCTCTTTAGCGTGACACATCTAGAGATGCATATTTAGGACACTTATCTATTCGTTTAATTTTGTGTGTTTATGGAATTTATGCCCTCTCATGCCATCTCCATGGAAACCTGTATAGGAGCCGCCCCTTTTCCCTGTCAGCCCTCCCTGCTATCGGTTCTCCGTTTGTCCTACACCTGTGGCCTCGCTTTACTTCACTCTTTACTCACGTTCATTGCAGTGATGGTCATTAGGAGCTCATTTATAGTTAGTTTTTCGGTTTTTCCACGTATCGTCCGTTTGTAACCCGGAGTTTTCTGCTCTGTCCACGCGGATACCGCCCAGCCACCTCCATCCTCAGGCAGCACAAGCCGCCGCCGGGCCCCAAGAGGGTGCGATTCGACGCGGTCACCGTCTACTACTTCTCACGGCGGCAGGGCTTCACCAGCGTGCCCAGCCAGGGCGGCAGCTCCCTGGGCATGGCACGCCGGCACACCACCATCCGCCGCTACACCCTCGGCGAGTTCGCCCGCGAGCAGGAGAGCAGCCACCGGCAGGCGCTGCGTCAGCACCTGCGCCAAGAGAAACTGGACGCTCGCAAGCGGAAGGTGAGTAGTGGAAGGAGCCAGGACAGCCATATTACCTCAGTCCTCATTGACAGGCCATATTGCCTCAATAATCGTTGTCAGCCGTATTGCCTCCAGTGACGTCCCGAGCCAGTATCAAAGATCAGAATCGGGGCAGATCCAGGAATTTTTAATTGATCAGTATCACTTGTCACAGCCCGATCTGTTTCATTTACCACATCCACCTAATTTATGTAAGTTGCACAGATTTTAAGTTCTCGCATGGCTTGAAACTACAAACTATCGTGACATCAGCCATGGGGAAAATCTTTAAACTGGAAACTCAAAGTGTCCCAACAGTTACCTGCAATGTTTGCAATGGCATCCCCTCGCGGAGAGGCAGCAAAAGAGTATCACTTAATACAACTTAATTAGGCACTTCCTGAAAAATCACAAGGAAGAATACTGCAACATCGTGAGGCTCACTCCGACAAAGAATGCACCGGTGCCTACTGTACTTGTTGACGACCATATTCCCTCGGTACCCCTTGGCAGCCATATTGCCTCAGTACCCCTTGATGGCCATATTGCCTCAGTACCCCTTGGCAGCCATATTGCCTCAGTACCCCTTGGCGGCCATATTGCCTCAGTACCTCTTGACGGCCATATTGCCTCAGTACCTCTTGGCAGCCATATTGCCTCAGTACGCCTTGGCGGCCATATTGCCTCAGTACCCCTTGGCGGCCATATTGCCTCAGTTCTCATTGTTGCCCTGGTTACGAATAATGTAGCTCTGTTTCTTTCCCAGTGTGCTCCCCCTGTAGGTGAGCTTGTGAAAAGCTAGTCTTTTTATCAATATCAACATGTCCACATTTGGAAGAGTTCTTTGGATTCCAGACCCTATGGTGTCTCTCTGCTCTTGACTGGCGACATAACAGATGTGTCTCCTGAACCCGCAGCTCACGAGAAACGGCACGGTGGCATGCGCGGCTGCCGACACGCTGACCTTGGACGACGTGTCAGACGAAGACCTGGACGTCGAGGGCATGGAGGTGGACGACTGCTTCTTCCTGCAGCCGCTGCCCACTAAGAGGCGGCGGGCACTGCTGCGGGCCTCGGGCATAGTGCGCATCGATGCCCGCGAGAAGGCGGAGCTGCGAGCCATTCGCCTCTCGCGGGAGGAATGTGGCTGCGACTGCCGCTCATACTGTGATCCGCGGCGGTGCGGCTGCAGCCAGGCAGGCATCAAGTGCCAGGTGAGGCGAGGAAGTGGTGTGGAGGCAAGCTGGCCCTGTCGCTGTGGCTTATTACTCTGCATAATATTACAGACCATTATCAGATTGTAGCCCAGAAATTCTAGGGGTAGTTTTACTTGCACAAAAATGTTCTGAAGGCAGAAAGAGAACCAATCAGATTGTAGAGGAGGTGGGGTCAACCAGCAGATATCTTGGTCCCGCCTCCTCTGGTTGCTTTGACCCACCTACTCTGCAATCTGATTAGTTCAGAGAGATAACCAATCATTTTTTTTGTGTAAGTAAAACTCCCACAGGCCACATAAATGTACATTCCACCAGCTTACAGGGTTCGAGAATTGTACAGAATTTCTTGAAAAGGTGCTTGTGAATTGCAGCAGATCCGAGGGAGAGCCTGTATAGACCCGTTGTCTGCACTGTATGTGTTTCCTCTGCGAGTGACCGATTGGATTACCGATGTCGCAGTAGTGCAGCAGTCGGGCTGTAGTGAACTCTCTCCCTGCCCCCCGGCAGGTGGATCGCCTGTCCTTCCCCTGCGGATGCTCGCGGGACGGCTGTGGCAACACAGCGGGCCGCATCGAGTTCAACCCCCTCCGCGTGCGGACGCACTACCTGCACACCATCATGAAACTGGGCCTGGAGGAGAGGCGGCTGCTGGTGCCGCGGCCCGGGGAGGGGGCCCAAGGGGCCCAAGAACCTCCTACCTCTGCTGCTAGCACCTCTGTGGACCCACCTCCAGGGGCCTCGGTCCTCTCCGACGCGGGGCTGGACGCAGGCACACTGGGCGCGCCCACGGACAGCCTGGAGGTGGACTACGTGGCCCAGCGGGACAGCTTGGCTCTGGAGAACGAGGCAGCCGTGCTGCATCTGCAGAGCGCCGAGGAACAAGAGCGGCGGAACCGTGAGCAGGAGCAAGAGGAGGGCGAGACTGGTGAGGTCCAGTGCGGACTGGGCCAACCGGGCCTGTGCCTGCTAGCAGAGCCCCCGCAGGACGGGGAGGCTGTAGAGCAGGGTGCAGGGCCCTTCCTCATCCAGGGGGCCTTCCCAGCAGGGGGCTCCCTGCTCTGCTTTACAGAAAGCCAGCTTGAGGCTCATCATCAGGCCCTTCTGAAAGAGCCCTCCTCTCTGGTTTACTACCAGATGGGGCACGAGGAGCCTCTGGCATTTCCGGAGGAACATCCTGGAGCAGGCGGTGATGGAGAGAGTGACGAAGGAGTAGCACAAGAACACAAGAGCTGCCAGCAAGGATTGGCGGAGAAAGAGCCGGCTGCAGGTTCGAGTTCAGGAGACGACGTGCAAATAGACAAGGGACAGTTCGCTTATGACAACGAGTCCCCGCAAAAAACTCCCGCTGTGTGCCAGGGAAACAGCCATTCTGCCTTCGAGGGGTTTGGAGATGGAGACCCATTGTCTTCCCAGGCCTAACTTCCTTAGGTTTTGCAGATGTTTTGCACAATAAAGTATATTGCCTACCTTAAGTAGAATATTAACAAAAAATCTTAAAATTGCAAATAATAATATTATAATCAGTTTTCTTTAGAGACAAGCATGTATATTAGACAATAACATAGAGGGAAGTGGTCCTGGTGGCAGGACACAAAAGTCTTTATTTCCCACTGTGCAATCTGTCATATAAGAAGGAGCTGAATCTTAACAGCCAATCAGAGGAAGGCAGTTTCCCCCCCTGATGTGGTTCAGCTAAGGAGCCTGTAGGGGCTGTTACAGGCTTATTCAGTGGTTCCCATCTTTGTCTCAAGTAAGCACTGACTTCAAGACATGCCTTTACTTATTTCCATTTTCGTATACAAATACATTGTTGGTAATACCTCATTTAGTGGTGATTCGAAGGAAAGAAATACATGGACACTGTTTTTAAGTTGTCAGAGGTCAGCTGTGCTCTCTGAGGCTGTAGGTGGACCACTGAGTGCCCATGTGAAACCAACTTACTCCTGGAGATACTTGGTATAAATATAATGTACTGTACAGCGTTCTGAGGTAGAGGGTCACTCGCACCTTTTTTTTGGGTGGGGTTGGGCTCAGGACCCTCTTGCATTGAGAGTGAAGACAAGTCAAATGCACACGTTTTTACGTTTGCCTAGGTTTTAATTTTCCAAAACATTTTTTTCTTTTATTATTGCATTATGATAATCAAAATTAGAGTCCATCTGCCTTTGTTGTCGCGTATACGTATTTTATTGAAACGCAACATGCGCCAGACTGAGTTCCGGCAGCCGAGGCAGTCCTACCGCAGCGTTGTGCCCTGCTCATGTCCGGTATTTATTTCCGTCGTGGTCGATAAAGGAGGCTGAAAAAGCCACGACACTAACAAATGGGTCACTAATTCATTTGTCCTAAAACTTTTGTTCCATAACTTAAATGATGCTCGTGTGCATTTGTGGGATAATTTTGACAGTTAATGAATAAAATCTTTTTTTAAAGTGAGCCATTACCTCCAATGGAGAGGGTGGGAAAAAAAGATTGAAGGGGGAATTTAATATTTCTCCGTTGGCTGTTACTGGAATGTGTCTTTGGTTGTTTCTTGAGGTAAAAAAAAAACCAAAAACCTGGACAGAACTCATCTGTCAAAAATGAACAAATGAATGGAAGTGAAAAATGCGTAGATCATTTACAGTTATACTTGGGTTTTAGTATAAAAAGTGAGGCCTCCAACATTGGCAAGAAAATGTAGGACTTTTTTTTTTTTTTAAAGTAAATATATAAATTGATTTTGGTTACTTAATGTACAGTTACAAGAAGGCAAGTGTGTCGTATCACGTATACTGTGTTGTACCAGTGTATTGTAGCACATCATCCTATGTTTAAAAGGTTTTTATGAGTATTCCTCGTGGATGTCCAACATCTGCATTGGCCGTAACAATAATACGATATTATTTAAGTGAGATGTCTTCTGCACCATTTCTCCCACCGATAAGCACTCCGATTTCAGCAGCTACTCACTTGTCAGCCCACTTTATAACTTGTTTGTGAATTCAGTGTTTTTTTTCCCGACACCATAAGGAAGGCGGAAATGCTAGCGAAGTTTGTCTGCAAACTTTTTTTTCTCAAATGTTATTTGTTTTATTATGGTTTTCCTTTACCTTTTAAAGGTCTGTATTTTATTTTCTTGTCTTGGTGTTACCCTTCATTGCTGGGGTTCATAATCTGTCAACAGTCTCTGTTATTTATACCAGCGTTGCATTTCTGTTTGATGTTTGTGACTTCAGTATCAGTTTGCCTATTCATTAAAACAATGTTAAAATGTCAAAGTCAAATTGAAATAAAAGTGACGCACATTTGGTTGTTTGAAGTACTGTACAATCTTACCTGCCAATCAATTTAAGAAACAGTGGATTCCATTTCTCCGCCTTTGTCTGGCATGTACACTGTAGTAAGAATTTGGGTTTTCAAATTTCAGTCTTGGTGTCTCCTAATTAGTTATAACTCTCTAATTAGTCGTCACTTTGTAAAATCCAATAATGAATGGAAAATTTAACACACAGAAACAAGCAGGCTAATCATCACACTTAGGTAAAGTTGCACATGCTATGTGACTATGTGTTAGGTGAAGACTGCCACATGGTGAAACAGGTGTAAAGCGTTCTGTATGCAAATATACTTATCGGTGACGTGTGTGGCTGAATATTTCTGTAACTACATCTGTAATGGGCTGCGCTGGGGAATGAGGCAGTGCCAGTGCGCTGGGGAATGAGGCAGTGCCAGTGCGCTGGGGAATGAGGCAGTGCCAGTGCCCTCTGCATCCAGCCATCATTTCCATTCTTATCCGGAAACGCACTCTCAGGATAGGATGGTGTTCCTTGGGTTTCAGGATTTCAAGTCAATATTGCTCTCAAGAGCTGCACTTATCAACACTGCTGATAGACGCTACACCACAAATGTCCACTTAACTATGTGTTCACTTAGTTGCGACGATGCTGGCAGGTCTCTAGGGAACCAGAACTTCTAGATGTAATATCTGATGGTAGAGCCAGAACATTCACATTGCCTGTTCTATGGGGAATAAAGTTGTAGTCGCAATATGCTTTCACAACATTATTATTACTTATATAGGCCCATGCTGCAAGTAGATTTTAAAAAATGCATTTATTTTCAAAGCTGGGTACTCATTCAATACTTACTCATACTTTGCTAAGTGCACCCATAACCCCTCGTATATAAATATTTATTCACCCTAAATTTGAACTCCCTGGAAATTATAACTATCGTTGGCTTAAAATTCCACTAGCCTCTATTTCTCTCACTGAGAGTCCCATTCATTTCAAACGCTTACAGAAGTATTGAATTATCCCCATGCCTTGTTAACGGAACTCCTCCATCCTCATCGTTGAGCGTAGGGGAAGCATGTTTAGATACAATTTCATCCACCACCATCCAAGTCCATTGCTCTTCCACGTAGTTCTCATCTAATTGATACAGTGTTATGGACCACTGGTAACAAAATCTAGCTATTGTACAATTTTGAATTTATTTCAGAATTTGCCATTTGATTTAATATTTATTCTGCTCTTATTTTAGCAGTGCTAATTGTAAACACATGAGGGCAGCAGTGGACAACAAATAGATCACAAAGTCACTTTAGTGCTGCTAGTATACATTTCAGTGCAGGCTACTGGGCAGCCCGGCCCTGGGTGTTGTGACGCCCTAGGGCCTAGGCGATTGCCTATGTCGTCCATTGGGCAGCCCGACCCTGGGTGTTGTGACGCCCTAGGGCCTAGGCGATTGCCTATGTTGTCCATTGGGCAGCCCGACCCTGGGTGTTGTGACGCCCTAGGGCCTAGGCGATTGCCTATGTTGTCCATTGGGCAGCCCGACCCTGGGTGTTGTGACGCCCTAGGGCCTAGGCGATTGCCTATGTTGTCCATTGGGCAGCCCGACCCTGGGTGTTGTGACGCCCTAGGGCCTAGGCGATTGCATATGTTGTCCATTGGGCAGCCCGGCCCTGCTTTTGGGTGCTTAAAATGTTAGAGGTTCGTGATGAAAGATTCATGGGTTGATTATAAAGGATTTTAATACACAAGGATTATATCATGCAATTTTGAACCAAATACATTTTCTAAAATGGTTTTTGACCTGGCCCCCCTCTGTGTTTTACTGGTCTGCATAGGCTGAAAAGACAGCTGCGATGTCATGGAAATTTGTAGATACACTATATCCACAAAAGTACTGGGACACCTGGCCATTACACCTACCGGAACTTTCATGACATCCCATTCTGAATCCATAGGCATCAATATGGAGTTGGTCCAGCCTTTACAGCTGTAGCAACGGCCACTCTTCTGGGAAGGCTTCCCACAAGATGCTAGAGTGTGTCTGTAGGGTTTTTTGCCCATTGACTCACAATCTCTGTTCTAGTTAATCTCAAAGGTGTTTGATGGGATTCAATCAATCAATCAATCAATCATTATTTATATAGCACTATTTTAATCAAACAATTTACAATGTGCTTTACAGATATTTAAAAGAAATGAAGAAAGGAAGCCTAGTTTTGAAAGTACTAAGACATTCAGTAGCTCTCAGGTTTTCTGGGGGAGAATTCCAAAGTGTGGGACCATAGATGTCAGGGGTCTGTACAGGCCCGTCAAATTCTTCCACACCAAACTCACCCAGCCAAGTTTTTATGGACCTTGCTTTGTGCACTGGGGCACAGTCATGCTAGAACAGAAAGGGCCTTCCTCAAACTGTTCCCACAAAGTTGGAAGCATAGAATTGTCCAAAATATCTTGGTATGCTGGAGCATTACGAGTTCCTTTTGCTGGAACCGAGGGGCCTAGTCCAACCCCTGAAGAACAACCCCTCACCATTATCCCTCCTCCAGCAAACTTTACAGCTGGCACAATGCAGTCAGGCAGGTAACGTTCTCCTGGCATCCAGAAAACCCAGAATGGTGCATCAGACTGCCAGATAGTGAAGCGTGATTCATCACTCCACAAAACACATTTCCATTGTGCTTTACACTGCTCCATCCACCGCTTGGCATTGTGCTTGGAGATGTGAGGCTTGCATGCAGTTGCTCAGACATGGAAGCCCATTCCTTGAAACTCCCGCCGCACAGGGAGGTGTCATCCTATGACAGCACCACGCTTGAATTCACTGAGCTTTTCAGAATGACTCATTCTTTCACAGATATTTGTAAACCCGACTGCATGGCTAAGTGCTTGATTGTATAAACCTGTGGCAATGGGTCTGAATGAAACACTTGAATTCACTGATTAAGAGGTGCATTCCAATACTTTTGTCCATATAGTGTGCATAATAACTGGCCTGCCGGACAAATATTTGCAAAAATTCTTCTGCTGTCTTATTGGCTGTAAGTTCACTGTTGATGTGATTTGTATTCCCATGAAGTCGTCTCCTTGCACCCTGTGTTAGATATTCAGCCCCAGCAGCTGAGGTCTGGAGTGAGTGTCAGGGGTGTAAATACCTGCCAACTTTAATGCCAAGGAAGAGTGCAGAGTGTAATTAGGGATTCATCAACTGCTAATGATGCCGCTGGTATACTCTGCCTTACCCTCACCTTCTGCCTTGACAAACTTAGTCCACGTTCTTCCAGATAAGCACACGCTCATTCCTCTTTCACCGGTCCCCTGCATGGGCGATGGACAAAGCTCAGGATGACTGAGAGGAGCCACCTTCCCAGATACATGCAAACTCGTCCTCACCTTCAAAACCCTCGTTGACCCTTCACCCACCAGCCTGGCTGCTGATGACCCACCACTCACACTGATAAATCTATGAGAGCCAAATGTCATCGTGCCCAAAACAACGCCGAATAAGCCACTCCATTGTGCTGTGGGTAGTGTTTCACTTCCTATGTTTCCTTCAGCACAAAAAGTCGCACAGTGATGATGCCTGGAACATCGAGCACAATGTTAGCACAGACC